CTGTGGATCACCTACAGGCGGTGAACAATTTTTTAGCATTTGGGGAAATAAAAGGCAACATTCTACGTATCGAAAGAAGTCATTTTCATCCGAAGTTGGCACAAGTTTATGATTGGATCACAAAATCATTTCACATGAATCCCGATGTTTCACAGCGAAAGATTAGAGCGGAGGAGTGACGCAATGCAACAACATGAGCTCGGAAGCTACTAGGAAATTCCAATTCTGTAATTAATTACTCGAGACTAATATTTAGGCCCGTTTGTTTGCAAGAAAGTAAAAAGTAAATTATGAGAAAGTAAATTTTAAAAAAGTGAATTCTAAAAAAAATAAAATTTTAAAAAGTAAAGTATTTTCCGATGTTTGATAGTATTATAGAAAATGAACTGAAAAACATTTTTCAGTGTTTGGTTATGTTATGGAAAATGAACTGGAAAATAATTTATTAATATTTTATTTTTCTCAAATTTATAAAAATAATAAGGAATAAATCTTTCTAAACTTTTCACAACTTCCGGAAAGTGTTTTCCTCCCAAATTTTTCAGGAAAACACTTTCCTAAAAATCAAGCCAAATTTTCCTTTGACTAGAAAGTGTTTTCCGTTTATCAACTTTCCTAACAGCAAACAAATACAAGAAAATTTGGAAAGTGATTTCCTAGAAATCACTTTCTGCAAAACAAACACAAGAAAGTTTGGAAAGTGTTTTCTTGAAAATCACTTTCCGGAAAACAAACACAGCTAAAAAGGAAAACACTTTCCTGAAAATTAAACAAAATTTTTTTTTGACTAAAAAATATTTTCGTTGATCAGAAAGTGTTTTTCATTGACTGGAAAATGTTTTTTGTTGACCAACTTTTCCAATGACAAATAAATATAAGAAAGTTTGGAAAGTGATTTCCTAAAAACTGTTTTTTAGGAAAGTTTGGAAAGTGATTTCCTGAAAACTGTTTTTGAGAAACAAACATAGCTTTAAAGGGGTTTGTTTCTTCTTGTTAGAGTTGCTCGACTGGCATTTTGTACAATTTATTAATTAAAATACAAAGCTTTTTACCTTTCATCTAGATCAAAACACTGTTGATTACTCAATATATAATATTATTTAAATGATTTAGATCAGGCGTAGGCGTGGGAGCTCCATAAAAATTATGACGGTGCATGTGGAGGCTTTGCCACTGGAAAGGTACGGTCGCGAAAGACTCCTACTTGCTGACACATGTTCTATGTATGCTAGTTACTTTTTATTTTTTAGTTTATAAAAAGATTATAATATTTTTTACTCTGTGTGATTATTGTAAAAACACTAAAATAAAAAAATTATTTTACATAGAAAAAGTTTACTTCAAGAGTCATGGGGTCATTAAATTATATATAAAAAATAAAATTTTAAAAAACTGTTTGGATATTATCTTTGTTTTTTTAAGTTATATTAATAATTATATTGTATAATAAAAATATAAAAATACAAAATTACCCCGAGGGTTTAATCAATCATTTTGTTTTTTAACAGAGGCATCAATCCTTTTTCTAGAAATTCCATCCTTTCTTCTTTTAAGGTGATTGGTGTCTATACTTACAAAAATATTCAATTTGATAAATTTAAAAATTCTTTAATAGTTAAGTCACTGACCTTTGAAGATAAAAATATTATAATATTATATAAAAATATTATCAAAATAAATATTTAATACAGAATAAAGATTATAAACCTTTGATCTATTTATAACTTATGATTTTTTATATATATAAACAAGAAAGACTAAAATGTAATATTAACTTTGTAATATTAAAAAAAAATCTCAAACATATGTATTAATGTTAATAGAAATATTTTTAGCATGTATTAATATTTATAGAAATAAAATGGATCATTGGAAGATTTTTATATACCTAATAGCTATAGGAAAAGTATAATCTAAAATGTTGTTTTTAAATTATTTAAAATTTATTTTACAATCACTGATACGAGTGATGATGGTATTCTGATAATGGTATTCAAATATGATGGATATACACTTGATTTAATCTAAATAGGTACTTACAACTCACTTCTTAATTCAATATTTTTAAGCTTGGTTATGAGTTGAATCTAAGTGGCCATAGATATAATGAGCTGTCAAATATAATATTATTGGGTTCAGCTATTTGTTGAGTTTAAATAGATATTAGAGATGAACTACCAAATCCAATATTTCTGGGTCAGTTATATGTTGAACCAAAGCTAACATGATTATAGTGAGTTGTTATATGTTGAGTTCTAATATATATGTCTAACTAGCTACCATACTTGATATTTTTTAGTTCAACTACTTACGAGCTCCAGTGCAGCAAAGTCTAATCAACATCTGGGATCAAAACTTTACCAATTAACAACATCACGTTTATTATCATAATTTTTATATTTATCGATTAAATTTCATGTCGATATTTGTACTATTATTATGTTGGTAATTAATTTAACATGGAATCACGAACGAAAATGCTCCATCGGTGAATCTTTCATCAATAATTGTTTTTCGTCGGTAAATATGTTGGCAATACCAATGGATTTATTGACTAAAAAAGCATGAAAAAAATAATTACCGCATCATTCCATTGGTATTTTCCCTAAAAAAATACCATATGTAATTCCGTTGATGATTATTTAAAAATATTTTACAAAACTATAAAATAATTAAATTAATATAAATCAACACTCTGTAATACTCAAAACGGAGTTGCTTGGAAAAAAAAGAAGAAAATTAATTCAAAAGAATTTACAACAAATAAATACATAAAAAAATAAATTCAAATAAAAAAAATTCATATGAAAAAAATAAAATTATGATTGTTAAAAATTTCAAAATCCTATAAATCCTACAAATAAATCAATTAAAAATTGATCTCATATGAAAAAAAATCCTACAACAACATTCATACAATTATTAAGAAAAAAATTTTAAAAATATAATAAAAAAACATGAAAAAAGAAGAAAAAAATATTACTTTAATGTAGTTACAAATGAAACTGAAAAGAGAAAAAAAATTCATAAAGTATATTATTTAAAAAAATTATGAAGAAAAAAAAAATAAAGACATACATGAGCATGAAGAAGAAGAGGAGTTGATGAGAGAAGATAAAAGAAGAAAACAAAAGGAATGTTAATTTTTTTTACATATAGAAAAGAAGAAGAAGAAGAAGAAAGAGGTCTTTTTGTTGTGAAATTAGAGATTTTAGAATTTTTTATTAAGGTGTTTTACTAATGGTTTTACCGATAAATAATTAAATATTAATATTTTTAATTATTCTGTCAGTAATATTTAATTTAATTTTTTAATTTAACTAAAAATTTTTAAAAACCACCAAATATCATGAATGACTTTTCAATTCGTTGATGATTTTGTCTGTATAATTTAATTAAAATTTTTAAGAAACTCGCCAAATAATACTGACGACTTTTTAATCTATCGATGATTTTGTTTGTAAAGAACAATTATTAATAATACATTTTTTGTTGGTGATTTTATTAATTTATAATTGACATGAAGAACAATGTTAACAGTTTATCAATGATTTTACCAACAACATTTATTTCATCGGTAATTTTATTGGTATAGATGACATGTCATTGAATTTTTTAGTTTTATTTTAGTTATTTTTTCATTGTAATTCTCTTGATGTATATTAAGGGAATTTTCATTGTAATTCTCTTGATGTATATTAAAGGAATATTTTTATTTTTATTTATTAATTTTTGATAGTGATTAGAATCAATATATTTTTATAAATTATTATATTTAGGATTATTAGTAACAAGAAAAACTAGAGAGGGAAAGGAAGGTGTCGATAAAAGAGTACCGAGATCAGAGGTCTAAAATCTTAAAAAGAAAAGAGATGGAAGTTACTCTATATATATATATATATATAGACACACACACTCACAAACACAAAATTCACTATAAAGAACACCGCACATGCGCAAGAATACTCATTCCTAATATTATGTATTTTAGACATGAAAATTAAAGGGGAATAATTTTATCGTTTGTTTGATAAATAATTTCATCACATTTAATCCTAACTTAGTTGAGCGTCATTAAACCCTAGCGATAATTCTTTATAATGGTCAGTAACCCTAATGATAACGATTTTTGACTTTTTCGTAGCACAATCCGAAAACTCTACTCAATTCATAAAAAGGAAAAGCACATTTATGGAGAGAAGTTGCTTAAGGTAGAAGTAGCTTAAGCTAAGGGTTGCTTCTACAATGATCCGATACTCTATTTAATAAAATGTTTAAAGATCTATTTATTAATTATAATTTATAAAATGAAGATTATTATCACTTAATAAAAAATCCCAAGTACATAATAAAAATATTTCTTAAATATTTTAAAAGAGTATATTTAAAGTTTTATTGAGACTTACATTTTACCTTAAATCGACTCTGATTATGGTATTTTTTATTTTTATTATTGTTAAAATTAAAGTTTGTTCACACTGTGGTTCCTTACAAGTGAGAAAAACCACTCGTTCCCTCAAGTCATTGTAGTGAAAACAAACCAAAGGAAAAAGTGGTTCCTCGAGCGGAGCAGAGCATTTTGGAGGGAAACGCAGCAGCCAACCTGAGTTGTCCCAACTACGGGGAAAAAGAGGAAATTAATTTTTCATCCACGTGGATGACAAGAGGGCACACCCAGACAAAGTTGATTTGATTGGGATGATGTCATCACGCTTCTGACGTGGCCATCCATCGTCAGCTGACCAATCTGTAATTTTACCCCATAGGCATGCACATGTGGATCCCACATCCATTTTTTTTTTCTGTATTTTAGAATACTGCAAGACCAGCTTAAATGACAACATGGAGATTAAATATTTTTTTAATTAAATATTATATGAAAAACCCGCACACTTATATTTACAAAAAAAATATCTATATTTTTGTAATATTTTTTTTTATAGATAAAATCAAAATCCTGCCTAACTGACTGCATCCCTTTGCTGGGTATATAAAGTACACTAGACTTCAAATTTTGCACACCCCAGTAGGCACTGCAAGAAAACAGGAAGCCACAAAAAACACAAATTGCAGGGCAAGCCTGAAACCCACCCCCCCAGTCAATCCAAATGGATGGCTCCTTCTTTCACTCTTCAAATTCTGATTTTTCATCCGAATCTTGTTTTGAATCGCCAGATTTTTTCCATGGCCTATCTTTTAACCAAAGTTCTCTCCCCTTCAATGAAAACGACTCCGACGAAATGCTTCTTTTTGGGCTAATCTCGGAGGCCACTCAAGAGACGTCAAAAGCAACTTCCTATAATGGAATTATTAAGGAAGAAGAGGTTAGCTCCGTGGCCGAAGAAGATCCCAACAAGGAAAAGTCCTACAGAGGTGTTAGGAGGCGGCCATGGGGCAAATTCGCTGCAGAGATAAGGGATTCCACAAGGCATGGCGTAAGGGTGTGGTTAGGCACATTTGATAGTGCAGAGGCAGCTGCTTTGGCCTATGACCAAGCTGCTTTTTCAATGAGAGGAACTGGGGCGACACTGAATTTCCCAGTTGAAAGAGTGAGGGAGTCACTGAAGGATATGAAGTGTACTGACCAAGAGGATGGGTGCTCGCCTGTGGTGGCTCTAAAGAGGAAGCACTCCCTGAGAAGGAAATTGGGAAGCAGAAGCAAGAGAGAGAGTAACGTTAGGATAGAGAATGTGATGGTTTTGGAAGATTTAGGTGCTGATTATCTGGAACAACTATTGAATTCATCTGAAGATGCTGTGAGTCCTTGCTGAACTATCTTAATTTTACATGTTTCTTATCTTTTTTTTTCCTCCTTCCATATGATTTATTGAGATGGTAGGATTGATCATATGCCAAGTCTTCATGTGTATTTTCCATTTTCATCCCCTTGTATTTCCCCTCGAAACCTTGTAAAGTAAAGGGGCTGAAGGGTGTTGAATGATTCCTCTTGTGCGTGGGCCTTAGAAACCACATGATTAAGTATCAATGGGAAAAAAATGAGGTGACTGCTGCCTTTCTTTGAAAAGTTTCTTATAACATGGGATCACGTAGACTCGAGTTAAACAAAGTCAAACTTTGTTCCGATCTTAATTTGTTCCGTGCAAAAGCACCCTGATCCAAAACAAAGCTACAAGGTGCCCTTCGACTAGTTCATCGTCCCGAAAAGTCATTAAATAATTTAAACCAGTGTCCTCGAACACTGAATGAGCATAATGGAGCCCCCAGCTTCATTTTCATTCTATGGAATATATTATTTATCAGCAATTCCTTTTACATACGAAACATCATACTCTAAGAAACTGTCCTTGTTCTTTGGTTTAACTACAAAAAAACGCCTCACCTATAGGATCTGTATCAATGTTACCATTCACTGACCGCGCTCATCGATTTTATCTTTAAATTCTACCCGTCCTGCATTTCCATGTGCTCTATCCATCCAAACTAGTTACAAAATCAGCTTAGTAGTTACGAGGATACTCCAAAATTTTAATATTAATCAAATTTATTGTTTTAAGAAATATTGTTTAGAAAGAAAAGAATTAATCAATTTAAGCTGAATTGAAGAATTAAAAAACTAAGTCGAGCCTAATATATGAGAAGTTAAGAAAATAAGAAAAATTGAATCTCATTGAGCTCAAGATTAGGAAGATTATAAATTTTAATTTTCTGGATGGATTTGAATTTTTATTTTTCATAAATCAGTTACATACCATATAGTATTCAAGAATAGGTCAACTAATTTGAATGGTGGTTAGAAGGGTACATTTTAAGATAATGGATAATGTAAGGCGTAAAATTAGCGACAACTCTACAGAAGAACATCATTTTTGTAGTTAACCCTTGTTCTCTGATGAGTCATATGAAAATCATTTTCCCACATAATAATAGTGAAAGAACATGAAAGAGCAATATGCATATCGCTCTCTTCTCCCACGCTCTCATATCGGAATCGTCCATGTTTGTGTCGTCGCTCTCCACATCTGAATCATCATCAATATTGTAACCATGGTGACCATACCTAGTGTGCCCAAATGTCTCATCAAACTCCATGTCTCTGAAAACAATAAGCCTTTTCTTTTTCTTTTTCTATCATCTGACCTTCACTTGTTTTTCATCCACACCAACTTGCAAGGTACAAGATTCGATCAAAAACCCTTTGAAAATTCATATTAGCTCCCCCAAAAAGTCTTATCACAAAGTATAGACTTTTCTAAAATCTTCACTAAAAAGTTAATCAAATGTCCCCTTCATCAAGTATGTGACTCTTTTCAATACTAACGAGGGTTGAAATCTTCAAAGAAAGTAGTTAGTTCACTAGGCTGAAATAGAAGAAAGTAGTTAGTTCACTAGGCTGAAATGGCACTGCAAAAAAAAAAAAAACAACAATGAAAGTCTCTTGAAAGGATCGGAAATTCTTTGATACCTGAAGTTGATATAGATGGTGAAGGGAATGAGCCCGAAAACAATAAAGTTGTGCTAACTGTTTCAACGAAGCTAAGAAGAAGAATGAGATATTGTTATATCTCTTTACTTTAAAATTAAATACTCAATGCTGTTTAATCTATCTTGGGGGATGAAAATGGATATTCACAGTGTTGAGTTTTTTTATATTTATTATTCATCAAATAAAAAATTTAGATATTCATACTTAATACATAGTTTCAAGTATTTATATAAATATCCATTGTACTATTATTATTTATTATTTAACAAAAAATAAATTAATAATATACATATAAATTATTTATATATATTACAAGATAAAACTATAATTGTTATCCATATACATGTACTGTGCTATGTTAATTTTGAGATATCTATATATTATATTGGATTAAAAAAATATAAATATTCTATATATATATATATAATACAAATACATGTCTCCCATTAGATTTTAATTATGTTTCAAATTGGGTTTAATAATAATTAAATTTTATCCATTACTCATTACTCATCATCTAAGAAGACTATAAAAAAAATATTCATGCATTTAGATTTGATATCCATTAGATTCGAACTAAATTTAAATATTTACTCATTGAAAAACCCGGAGGTTATGTATCTTTCATTGAGATATGAGCAAAATGATAATTCTCTCATCATCTATAATTTTAGATTAGTTAAAAATTATCTTAGAGTGAAAAAAAATAAAAAGATCAATGAGCTACTATAATATAAAAATGTTTATATTGATTACATAATTTTCCTGACTAACTAGGTTTCAAATCAGGCTCCCGAGTGGTTTTGAAATTGACGAGATGATTCTCATCTTCATATAGGTATACATGTTCCATATGGAGGTGGGTTAGGTCTAATACGGAGGTATGATGACATGATATATTAGAGAATAATATAAATTATATCCTAGATCTTATTTAATAATTTAAATTATTGGGTTGAATTGGTTTTTTGACATGGTATCAGAATCGTCTAATACGGAGGTATGATGACATGATATATTAGAGAATAATATAAATTATATCCTAGATCTTATTTAATAATTTAAATTATTGGGTTGAATTGGTTTTTTGACATGGTATCAGAATCTTAATAACTAAGTGGTCATGAATTCAAATCTTACTATTTTTATTTATTTAATAAAAATCAAACACAAGATAATATGAATCGGTGCAAGTTTCAATCCTAAAGAGTTTTTATTTGAGGGGATATGCTAGAAAATAATATAAATCATATCGTGTATCTCATTTAATAATTTAAACTATTTGGTTAAGATGGTTTTTTTAACAAAATACATCAATATCCACAAGCTTATTTACTATAGTAACTGATAATATAATATGATATTGCTAAACTGTAACAAAAATAATCAATTAAGAGATAAAACGAGGAGCTCAATTTAATGCACCATTATGTTGTTGGATATGGCGTGAACATTTTAACCTTTAGTGATTTTTAGAGGAGAATCAGTCATAGCTAGCTGGGGTGCCCCGCCACGATACCACGATAGTACGGCCTTTAAGCCAAAGAATGGCCAAGAGCCTTGCAATGAACTTCTTGGAATTTCCCAGTAGGGCTGGATTCCAAACCTGTCCTCTACCTCGTCTTCACCGTACATTCAAGTTACTTTCCACCTGCTTGACTCCAATAATGCAAAAGAATCCAAGTCAAGCACAATTATTGACGAATGAGGTACAATGATATGCTGATACATAACAGGGAAACTGGAAATGAGCAAGCAAGTTCTTAATAGAGCACAATTGAAGCGGATGAGGACTATATAAGCAACTCGATCCCATCATTCCATAAACTAATTAGTGATTGTGATAATATCCATGCAAATCTTAATTTTGTTTTCAGGATTGTGTTTCCTACTAACATAAGGCTGCTCATGCCTGCTCTATTTTCCATGCACGCATCTCAATTTTTTTTTTCTTTTTTCATGTTTGAATCGCTGGCTTTTCTGCTCGTATTTGAGCTTTCTATTCATTCATAGCCTATGCATTTCTATGAACTTCCTTGTGTTTGTAAAAAAGATCAAGATTACGAGTAGGAATGTGAGACGCAGTTGAGTGAATCGACAAGCAAATGACAAGGGCCAGAATGATAAATGGAATCTGATGCATTTCTTTTTCTCGGAACTTTAAAAAACCAAGTCACTTCGAATTAGGATTCTCGGCTACTAGAAAGTAAAGATCTAGCGCCTCTAAAAGCCTTTGAGTTGCATCAAAACGATTTATTTTACATCAAGAGCCATCTTTTCACGCATAGAGGGCCAGACGGCCAGTTGTTAACTGATTGTTTTATGTAATCAGTTTCTTCTAATAAAATTGAAGATCTAAACCAATAACAAAAACCAAAGAAACTATCGATGGACGTGACCTGTTACTCGCCCGATTGCAAATGAAAAGGTGTGAAATGTTGAGCAAAGAATCCTAAATGTAAAAAAAATAAAAATAAAAGGGGGAAAAAATAAACGTAGAAAAACTCATAAAACTCTGAGAAAGAAAAGCTGTCAAATCAGGTCACAGGTGCCAAATATTATGCCTTCCTTAAGATTGATTTGATTCCTTTGGAGGGTTTATGCAGATGGAGCTGTTAATGCACGTAGAGGTATTCTAAAGATATATTAAAATTGGAGTATTTTTAAAATTAGTTTTTTTATTGATAGATAGCATATCAGAACGTGGCCACTTCTCCGTCTCTTCACGACAGCACGTGAATAGGGCCCTTTTTTGTGAGGGTGGGCTTAGAATAATATTCGAGGCCCACAAAGAAACTCCAACTGATAGCATAAATTAGCGATTATCCAATTCCAGTCCAAAGGTAGAACATATAAAATCGAATCGGAGTGGGGGAGTGAATGGAGATGGGGTCTCATCTCATTTCTGGAGGCAACGGGCGGATAATGGTCCACCACCATCACTTTCCGAAAAAGCGGAAACGCTACAATTGGTGGTGCTGTTGTTGCCGCTTGCAAAATTTCAAAGAAAACAAGCGTCAGGATCGCTGCCATTGTCAGCGTTTCTTTCTCTCAAGAAGGAGCTTCTTTCTGGGCTCCATTTTCTCCCACTCACGACGACTACTTTACTCCTTTCTATGTCCTCCTTCTCAAACACTTGCTAGCTTACTTTCTAATTTCTCTAACAAAATAAGAATATATTCTTGCTTGGCTTTTTTTCAAAATTCTGCGCTCCACTCGCCGTTCATTCTTTACTCCACTACAAAGAAACTCAAACCCCCCAAAAATTGATATTCCCTTTAATCCTCTTTCTCCCTTTTATAAAGCCATGCTACTAAATCATAACAACCATCGTGTGCTAGTAGAGTGTCGGCTGGCTGTGTTGGTCTAGCTAGCTCTTTATCTTTATGCTTCTTCCTTAATCTTTCAAGGGGTGAGAAAAGAAGACTTAAGTGAGAAAAAAATATGGAGCCTTTTGTTCTTAATGGAATCATTACCAGGTTGCTTGAAGTTAGGGA